AGTTGTTAGTGCTGTAATAGCAAAGTCTGTTGATGTTATTTTAATTAATGTTACTGGATCTATGTAACTGTTCTTGAAAATAAAGATTATTATTATTATTATTATTATTTATGTAAACTGGATCTTACAGCAGGTTACCTGGAACTGGTCCTCAACGAAAAACCAATGTCAACGATGATCGTTTTATTGTTATGCAAAGCCTTCGGAATCGGCTTGCTACAGCTGTGGAAATCAAAAATCGGCTTCAGTATGTTCGAAATACCAGAGTAAGTCAAAGGACAGTTAGACGACGACATGGAGAAGCAAATCTGACTAGTCGTAGACCTGCAACAGGACCGGAACTTCTTAAAAGTCATCACACTGCATGACCAGTTTGCTAGAAATCATCAGCTTTGAGGTGAAAATGAATGGGGTCGCGTTTTGTTCACAGACGAGTCAAGATTTAGTTGGCGGTCTGCGGATGATCGTGAGAGAGTATGTCAAAGACCACAAGAAGGTTTTGCCGAATGTACCTTCAGTTCTAGAGTTGGATATCAAGGAAGTTCAGTTATGATCTGGGCTGGAATTTCTCTGGAAGCGCATACAGAATTCTATATCGTTTCAAGGGGCTCCCTCACAGCTAGCTGCAAGGTACATTGATGAAATTATCTCAAATTTTGTCATGGGAGATGACTTTCTGCTAATGCATGATAATGCTAGACCCCATAGTGCAAGAATGACTCGAGGTAAATGTTGCTGTTACGGAGTGGCCAGCATTAAGTCCAGCTGCCAACCCAATTGAGCATGTTGAGACATGTTGGACGACGAATTCGTAGTTGACTTCCTGCGCCACTAACCTTAAATCAGCTTCAAGATGCTCTTATGGAAGAATGGGAGCTTATTGCCCAAGAGGACATCAGGGACTTGATTTTAGGCATGCCAAGACGAATTAATGCATTAATTATAAGTCGTGGGGGCAACACTCATTATTAAAAACTNGACCTGGAACTGGTCCTCAACGAAAAACCAATGTCTACAATGATCGTTTTATTGTTATGCAAAGCCTTCGGAATCGACTTGCTACAGCTGTGGAAATCAAAAATCGGCTTCAGTATGTTCGAAATACCAGAATAAGTGAAAGGACAGTTAGACGACGACTTGGAGAAGCAAATCTGACTAGTCGTAGATCTGCAACAGTAGCGGAACTTCTTAAAAGTCATCACACTGCATGACTTCAGTTTGCTAGAAATTATCAGCTTTGAGGTGAAAATGAATGGGGTCGCGTCTTGTTCACAGACGAGTCAAGATTTAGTTGGCGGTCTGCAGATGATCGTGAGCGAAGACCACAAGAAGGTTTTGCCGAATGTACCTTCAGTCCTAGAGTTGGATATCAAGGAAGTTCAGTTATGATCTGGGCTGGAATTTCTCTGAAAGCGCATACAGAATTCTATATTGTTTCAAGGGGCTCCTTCACAGCTGCAAGGTACATTGGTGAAATTATCCAAGATTTTGTCATTCCTTATGCCTATTTCGTGGGAGATGACTTTCTGCTAATGTATGATAATGCTAGACCCCATAGTGCAAGAATTACTCGACGAGGTAAATGTTGCTGTTATGGAGTGGCCAGCATTAAGTCCAGCTGCCAACCCAATTGAGCATGTTGAGACATTCTTGGGCGACGAATTCGTAGTCAACTTCCTGCGCCACTAACCTTAAATCAGCTTCAAGATGCTCTTATATGGAAGAATGGGAGCTTATTGCCCAAGAGGACATCAGGGACTTGATTTTAGGCATGCCAAGACGAATTAATGCATTAATTATAAGTCGTGGGGGCAACACTCATTATTAAAAACTTTTATTGAACGGAAATTGTTTGAGTTTTGGTTATTTTTGCTTTAGTTTGTGACAACACTTTCTTGCGTTTTTTTTATTTCGTTCACATTTTATTGTAAAACTTACGTGTGAATCGTGACTATATATTTTCTTATTAAAAATCATAGAAAATATTTTGTATTGATGGTGTTTACATTAATATAGTACAAAAATATTACAATCAATTAAAAAAGTAAGATTATTTTAGAAAATGTGACTGTTCCGTTTTTCGTGCCGGTGAGTATGTATTATGTAGAGTTTGAAATGAACTTAAAAAATATTAAAATTGAAATCCAAATTTTAAAAAATTTGCCTTGGTATAACAACTTTGGGCAAAGATATACAGAGTGTTGCGTAGATACTAGGACTGAGTTTATTGTGAACCTAAACGTAGAAAATTGTGGCTTTTGCCTGGTCATGCATCAACATCGACTGCAATACAGAATATTCATAGTTTGAAGCTCATGCTCTGTAATTGGTGGGACCAGTTTGGTCTTATTTACTATGAGCTGCTTCAACTGATCACTTGTGAACGCTGCCAAATACAATTGGTGCGTTAAAAGAAAAATGGCCGCAATTTGAACAAATGCAGGATAAAGTAATTTTTCAACATGACAATGCTCGGCCACATGTTCTTTACTCTATCCGCCATATTCACCAGATATTGCTCCATTGGATTACTACGTATTTCGATCCATGGAACACGGCTTGGCTAAGCAGCACTTCTTAGTAAGATACAAAAAATTGAATTGATTAGTGGATAGCATCAAAAGATGAGTTGTTCTATCGATGCGGAATCCATATGCTGCCAGAAAGATGGGAAAGAGTAGTGACTGGCAATGGACAATACTTTAAAAAATAATAATGTACACAATTTTTCACAATAAAGCCTTGAATTTACAAAAAAATCCCTCAAACTCAAAATTAATTTACAGTTCTAGTATATTTTTAAGCCTTGCTTATATAGGGTGATTCACAACTTTTCCAAAAAAATTTGGAAATAGATGTGGCATGAGAAATGGAGTCAATATCATAACTACATAGCTGGACAACTTTAGTCTTTAGCGTCATTCGCTATATGCGTGGAAAGCCACGTGGCCTCTGGTGTTTACAATAGTTTTTTTAGTAGTTAGTGTCAAAAATGGTTTGCGTGTATAGCAACTCGGAGTTGTGTTATGGTGAAGCAAGACAACATTTGTGTTAGTTCATAGAAACTGAGTAAGACGGACCCAAATGTGTTTACACGTTGCTGGATAAAATTTTGAACAATTGTTGCAACATCGGGTATGTCAAATGATTTTATTATTTAAATTAAACAAATTAATTTTATTAATTAATAATAACAATACAGGCAAAAGCAATTGAATTTGCTGATATAAAATAGGCTATAAAATTCTATTTCTTTCCTTGCAAAAGTTTTTTGTCCGTTTTTATCACACCGCCTTGCTGGTCGCATTGTGCGAGGTCAAGTTTTACAGTGGACCAGTTTCCAGTGCCGTGTAGAAGTGTATTTTTAAATCATTTTCGAACTGCCCTTTTTGATTTTTTCTTTACAAAATTGTATTTGTAAGAGTCCCCTGTACATCCAGATTTGTTTTTTTTTTTTTTGGATAAGTTCTGAATCGCCCTATATATCATAGTTAATTAATGGATGATTAGTACTTCTGGATGATTCATAGATGGCATGTGGATGTGTAGTTCATAATTTTTATAAATTTCTATCTGCACAGAACTGAATTTCTCCTTAAACGGCCTCAGTTTATTTACTATAAGAAGGAATATTGTTATCCCCATCTTAGAAAGAAATTTTATCTGAGTTCTTATTCGACGGCTACGAATTTGGAATTTCAAACGCTCAAAACACGAAATCTTATAATGTGAACTTTAATTAATAGTCTAGTTATTGTTGTTAGAATTTGGTATACTCTACTGAAGTGCTGAAGTGTTTCAATTGTTATACACAGGTATGTGTTTGTAAAATCGATATAAACATAATAAATTGTAGGGTCGTAAGTGTAATTTTTATTTCTTATTTTAAAAAGAGAATTTAGATTAATCATATTAATATATTAATATGCAGTTATTTTAGAGCGCCTCATATTTATTATATTTTTTCAATGTAAATATGTTGTATAAATTAAAAATAACTCCAAAACAGTTCACTTCACAAAAATATGATTTTTTAGAAATAAATTTCAATATAATTATAATTAATATGTCTAAAAAAGTCATTGGAACTTCAAATTTTTAGGGGACAAAATTCCATAAAAAATTTAAGGCTATTTAAAATAATATTTCTGATATTTACGATTTATTGAACTATATGGAAAACTTAATTTGAATTTAAAAAAAATATTTGAAAATATGTAAGATTTTTGCAAATTTCAACACTGTATCTTCGAACATTTTTATGTATATTTTATACATTTAGAAATTTACATATATTGTACCCATGTATAACACAAGAAACTGGAAACCAAAATATGAAATTTATTCGTAAATTAAAATTTATATAACAATTTTTCCCTCTTCTTTGAACATTGATCAAATATATTTTGTCAGGGCCTTCAACTTAAAACATATGTTCTAACTAATTACTCATTCTTACAAATATTATATATTATATACATATATTATAAATTTGCAGTAAATATTGCTTTCTGTGGAACGTGTCACGTATGTTCTACACAACTGTGACATTTATTTAAAAAGCCCGCCCCTCCCTACCTATTTTTTCTAAATAGGTTACGCGTTAAAATCGCCTCTATTCGGGGTTCAACGTTGCAGACTATGCAGACTTTCGCGTATTTGATATGTAATCCAGATCTACGAGCAATCAGCAAACATTCAGATCAAAAATTTTGGGAATATAATGCACAACGTGTAATGTGTGTCCGACTTTTGCCTTGATAATCTAGGCTAGGGAACTAGGGAGGGACTTTATTTCTTAGCATTGCGTGGCGCCATCTATTGATGCAATCATATTCATTTTCTTAATAATAAAATAAGATATCTTTATCCTTCTGCAATTTATTGATTATTCTTCCCCACCTGTGAATAATAGAGGGTGCTATGGTATTATACTGCAGAATTTTAATTTACAACTACTAAACAGCTGTCAAAATAATTTGGCTGCTGTTAAGTCGCATTGCGGTAGGTAGAAAATCTAACTTTTTTAAATAAAGTTCAGTATAAATAAATGTTGGATTTATTTAGTGAGTAATATTTGTGTTGTGTTGTGATATTTGCAATGCCAAATAGGATAGTGGAAGATATTCTTCCAAGAAATCCACCACATTATTTGCACGAACTTCCTCAAGAAGATGAAGAACGTTTGGGAAAATTATTTACCCGTCTGGATAAAAATGGAAATGGCAGGATTGATATTCATGACTTGTCTGCAGCTCTCAGAGAACATGGGGTTCATCACGGTTATGCTGAGGTAAAGGGATATGCAAATTAATTAATTCAAATCTATTATATCACTATTTGGGGTACAGTTAACTAATTATATTTGTGTACAGTTATTTTCTTATTAGACATCCTATACGTTTATTACTTTGATATATAAATATGTACCTCGTTTTTCATAAAATAAGAATTGTTGAATAAAAAAATTACATTCTTTTGGGAAAGTAATTTCAAATCAATTTTGTAAATTTGATAAAATTAGTACCTACGTCTATACATCTTGAAAGTAATATTAAACAATTGGAATTAGACACATTTTGCTGATACCCATTATAAATAGAAAAAGTACAGCATATGTAAAATAATTATCTAACATTAAAAATAGGTATATGCATCGAGTGCCTTAATTTTTATTTAATACAAAAGACCTTGTTTTTAAAAATCATATATTAGCTCTCATATTTTGCTATATTTTAAAGGTATTCAGCTAATTCAAATAAATAAAAAACATTTTTCTAAAAATCTTATCAAATGAAGTCGAACAATGTTCTTCGATACCAAAAGTCTAGGTATGCAAATAAAACCCCATAGACAAGATTCCTAACTGTTGATATTGCGGTAAACTTCTCTGTAGGTTACATTTTTTTCATACCTAGATTTTTATTATTGAAGAACATTGTTTGACTTCATTTGGTAAAATTTTTTAGAAAAAAATGTTTAATTTGGTAGGTTAATATCTGCACAATAGAGGAAAAGAAACAGAACTTAATCGTAATCGAATTACGATACTTTCTCTAAAAAAATTACCTATATTTTCCAGATTTACTTACCTAATATTGTCAATCAAATATTTGTAAAATATATCTAATACAAATATCTGCACAATAGAGAAAAAGAAACAGAACTTAATTGTAATCGAGTTACAATAAATTACCTATGTTTCCAGATTTACTTACCTAATGTGGTCAAATATATGTATAATATATTTAATACATGTTTGGTAATTAATTATAATTCAAAATAGATGTGCACTTTACTAATGAACACACCTACAATAAATGCGTTAATAGTAATAATAATACGTACTTAATATAATAATCAATACTGATAAAATCACATACGTACCTACATATGGAGCAGAAATAATAAGTATAATGCTGGTACAACTGTGTGTGTATTGTGGGTAGTGGACAACCTTTTGAGAAAAATCGTTTATAAATATTAATTTGAATTTATTTTTGGTACATTTAAAAATTATTGCTTTCAGAAATTTCTCAAAAGTACCAAAAGCAAAAGTGGAGAACTGTCCCTGGCAGATTTTATTTACTACGTGAGAGAACATGAGAAAAATTTGAGGTTGCATTTTTCTCATTTGGATAAAAATAAAGATGGTAAGTTTACCGAAATATATTTACTCTGTATACTTTAATGTCTCCTTTTTATATTAGGTTATTTTATATGTAGGCACTTATAAAAATTTTGATTAAAATAGATGTGCCGTTACGTCAAATAACAATTTTCGTCAATTGTCAGTTCTTTTCAGGGATACATTGTCAGTTCATATAATGGATTCATTTCAAAATTTAATTAGTAATCACTTCAAAGCATTAAAAAATCTACTGAGTATTTTGCTACAAATATGTAAATTGTAGACACTTTGAAAAAATAATATTTTTTTTCATATTTCAAGTGGTTGTACATATTAACATCAAAGTTTCTTGTATTGATAGTTAAATGCCAAATACTTAATGTTAGGTGTTATTTTTGTAATAGATTTAAGAAGGGTTTATTGTGATAATTAGGCACTACCTAAACAGACCTAATTATGTTAAGTACAATTCAATAATCAAAACATAATTTTGGGAATGTATGTTTTCCATCCTGTATTATTTTTATTAACTACTTACTAAAAAATTTAATCAGTGCTTTTTCTACTGTTAGGTAAAAATTAAAAAAATGGGAATTAAACCATTAATGTAAATGGTTAAGTTAATTTTAATTCAGGTAGTCTAATTTAAATAAAGATCCAGTATTAACTGGATAAATAAAATATACACAGGTTAAAAGTCTGACTAGTTGCCTTGAATATTTTGGCTTGTTAATCACTACTTTCTTGGTCAACTTCCAATAAAGGATTTTATAAAAATTTATGTAGTCATAGGTGTATGTTTTATATTTTATAATAGTAAAATTAAATTTATTTGTAAAGAAACACCTAAGGAAACTTCATTAACTGTTTAATTAAGTTCTTATATGAGAAGATAAGACAAATTCTGTAAGATTTTTATTATAACAGCTACAGATAACAGATGTTGCTACTGCCAAATTAAAAGTCGCTCATAAATATGCCTGTTACATTACTATTGCTGTAATTTGTATGTACTAGTTGACTAAATAGAGCGGGTTCATTTTTAAGTTGAAGGTCTCGGAAGAGATATTGACTTATGAAATATAAGAGGTATGTCGGTTTAATTACATACCGAAATAAAAAATAAATGATTTTAATGTGCATACACCACCTCAGTAAAATTCTATATTAACATTGTTTTTAATAGTCTAAAATCGTGTATGTTAAGCCACGTGTTCATTGAGCTAGGCTGCCTGGCACGCCAAAAAACGTGATAAAGCGGAGATATAAAACTTTACGAGGCATGTTGCCCGTCAGCTTCGTCCGATGTATACGGGGCTTAACGAGTCGTATTTATTTTAAAATATTGATTCCATATTATTTTATAGACATTAAAGACCACAAATTCTTCTAGGTAGGGTTGTTAACCATCCCTATTTTTGGTATTTTTTTTTCAAGTCCCTGGCGGGACCGATTTCAGCGATTTCGGAAGATTTATTGTATTATCGGCGATATCGCTAACGCCACTTTTTTAAATTATTTAAATAATTTTTAACGGCACCAACAAAATGTCGTATCTACAGTAAGAATACCGCATATTCAAGATTTATCTGAAAAATTAAAAAGAATTGGTAATAGGTTTAATATTAGAACAGTTTTCCAAACCGGTAAATACATTAGGGACAATATTATTAAAATCACGGCCACAAAAAGCTGCATTTACAATACATATACCTTGTAAATGTGAAATAGTGAACATTGGGTTGGCGAAACCTCCAGATCTTTAATTTGTTAGAATCGGAGAACTTTTTCAGAAAGGAAGAATTTGAAAAATCAAAAATTTGCGTGGCAAAACGGACATGTTATTCGATGGAGTAGGCAGCAGAAAAATTTTCGAGAAGAAAATGATACAGTAAAAAAACAACTGTGCAATGTGTTGCAATGATTATTGTGTAGTCCTGTAAAATTATTGCCTACTTTTTCTCATTGTGAGATATTTCTGGATAGGCAAAACTAAAATTAACCCTTCCACCGATCCTTTTTGGCGAAAGGTGTTATTTAATTTTTAATACCCAATCAAATAAAACGGGGAAATCGGATTAATTTTTTTATTTATGTCATTTTTCAATTATTTTATTCCAGTCGAATTAGAGTTTGAACGGGAAAAAATTATTAAGTAGTAGACATTTTATTGCACTTCATGACGGGGAAGGGTATGTAGAATGATAATATCAAAAAAGTAACTTGAAAGAAAGTCAATTAAATTACTATTTAAGGTACCTGAAGTCATTTTTCACCTATTTGTTAATTCTAAAATATGTCGCACACCGAAAAATCAGTTTTCGAAAATTGCGCATTATTGCAAAAAGCGATGGATGTTGATGAAATTTATGGAAAGGACGATCAATCCAAAGACCAACATGTGTGTCAAAGGGCGACTCAATTGACCGTGAATTTGTTGCTCCAGCTATTTGTTAATTAATTTCGTTTTTGCAATTAATTGTTTAATTACCAAACTTTAATTTTAGAAGTTAATATCGTAGATATACGACTAGATATAGGTTGATAATTGATCAATAGAAACATATAAAAAAAGAAGAATTTCAAAGAGTTGAAATTAAGTAGCTCTTTACAACTAACAAAGTAGTACGTGCAAAAAGCGTTATAAACAAATTGTCCCAGGATCAAGGCAAAAGCCACTCGGGAATTCGCTCTTTTTGTATTAAATTGAGCTTATTTTTATGGTAATTTAACAAAAAAAGAGAAATCACCTACGCCACTTTGTTCCCAATATAACTTTTATTTTATAATGTGAATTGTCAATTAACTATTGGACGTATCGGAACGGAATATTAGAGACAATTAAAGAAAAGGGTTATTCTTATAATAAAAACTTTGATTTACTGCTATTCAATTCTGCTTTTTTGACAGGAATGAATTCATCACCATCTTCTTCGTCTTGTAAGCAATCTCTTTAAAAATGCTTTTTTTAAATTGTTAGAAACTGCAGATGATACCGCATCTGCAGTTTCTCTGCGTTTTCGCACGATTGGCCATGGCAATTTCTGCGAGTGTCCGTACCTTTCAAGCCGTGTTTTCTGCAGCTACAACTTTGTGTTGTGCAAATGCTCTTACAATTTCAGGAAACAATTAAAAAACAACAACAAAAGCTAGAGTTTTGCTGTAAATCACATTCTGGAATCATGTTCCTTTGCTGTGACTGTAAAGTAAGCAATTAATTATTACTACAAAAGCAATAAAAATATGCAAATTATAAAATATTTCCAAACAAGGACACAACTTAGGACTAAGCTATATTTAAAATCCATTTAACAAATTCTGGCCTTAAATTGTATTGTTACATTCGCGCTCGTTCAATTAAATATACCCGGTAGGCATTTAGAAATTACACCGCGTGTGGCTGGCACACTCACAAATAATGTAGATTGAAAGGTCATTCAAAATATTCACGTGTTTTTTTCTCTAAATATATAATAAGTAGTTATTTACCCAAAAATGCGTGTTATAATTTAAAAAATTATTTATTTGAGACCTATTTAAAATGGACATTTGTACTTATTTTTTATCTAAATATTTTTGGACAATAATTATAAGTTGGATGACTGAAGCTTCTCTGGATATATTAAGGAAAATTATTTTTGACATAGGTATGTCAAAATTTCGATTTATATTTTCGCTTTTTCACATCAATAGAAAAACCGTTCCAATTTTAAAAAACAGTTTTTTTTTTGAAAAATATTGGTAACAAATTTCATACAGATGTCTGCCTACTAATGATTTGGAAAAATATGGGATGTAGGATAGGAAATTAAATATAATTTGAACTTTATAAGTAATTTTCAGTAAATTTATAGCAGTGTTGACGATGGTTTTAGGAAATATTAGCAAGTTAGAAACACTATCTCTTCACTGTACCAGTTATTCAGAATAAGGAAAAAATGCATATTTTTACTTCTTATACTTATCCATTACATTTCCTAAACTTTACACGCCTGTTGAATATACAGAAAATCGCGTATGTTATTATAAACATAATCACACCGTGCAGACTACTGAATACTTAAATTTATAGCTATAAGATATTTCAACAGTTACCAAGGTCGGGTATTTTAAAAATGTAAAAACTTCATTCACTGAAGAAGCTGCATGTATCATCAAATAAATTTTAATGGAATTATCGTTCTGCAGATTTTGGAGAGAATGGAAAGATCTTATTCCGCAAATTGTATAAAGCTGATGTCATATTGTGTGAACTTTGGACCCTAATAAATTACTAGGAAATTCTATTATTCTGGCAACCGGTCTGTTTTGTCGACAACAAGGACACTAAACATTCGTATTTTTATTATGTGAATTTTATCGGCAGTTTAGTGCGAAAAAGAAAGCGTCACATTGCCACATTGATAAAAATAGCATGGGAGCAAAACGCGCAGAACGTACCTTGATACCGTTCAAAAAGACATTTGACGGGAGTTCAAAAATAAGTTAAATGCGCACTTTCAATAAATTCGAACGTATAGGGTGACCCATTTTTCATGGTAATGGGAACGGTAATAAATAAAACAAATGTGTGTTTCGTTGGAAATTATAATAGTGAAAAGTGACAATTTTACTGACAATATACATATATTATATGAGGGTCATATTTATACGAAAGTTACTTCTTACACATATCATAAGTTTGTTTTCTCAAATTCCGTCTAGGAAACTGATTTTTTTTGTAACCTTTTTTTCGCATTTTTGTTACTCTGCGGCAGAACAAACTTGTGTGACCTACAACAACTGCGCGTGTTGGTCGCAACACATACACACTTGGGAATTGCGGTATGCGTTGATGTCAAATCTAATAATTTAAGAGGAGGGAGGACAATTTTATTAGGAAGAAAATTTTCGCACCACTCGCGAGGTACTAGTGTTTCACGTGTTATTTTTAACACCTGGCATTCGCCAGGAGTCCTATCTTCCCACAAAAACGAAAATTTAATTGTTTTAAATAACATAACCTAACAGGTAATCTAACAG